TATGGATTTTGTTGGTACGCGAAACCTGCCAGATCGGGCCTTGGCGGCGCGTGCGCGCATAGCGCCACGCATTAGCGGCCGTGCGCGCGTTTTACTGGTACGACTATGGATTTTGTTGGTACGCGAAACCTGCCAGATCGGGTCATGGCTGCGCGTGCGCGCATAGCGCCACGCATTAGCGGCCGTGCGCGCACTTTGCCTGGTAAGCCTGGGGCTGGCTGGATGTTGGGCGGCCGGCAAAAGCAATTTAATCAGGTTAATGATCAACACCAACTAGAAAGGTAACATTTGCAAAGCAAATGCATAATGTGTACCTTCACATATGGTCTGCTCTGTTAATTCTTACTCAAACACATTCATATATATGGTGACAGATGTCTAAATCCATCCTGTTATAAAACTGCAACATGATGTAACCCAACACTAGTTACCACGGTAATAGACTGTCTGGTTCAGGTCATTGACCTTTTGTGTTTGGAGAAGAGGAAACTGAGCAAAAAGAATATGTTTCCTGCAGTGAACATAACAAGTCTTTCTTCCTTTATACAGATGATCTTGTGCTTTACTTGAGGCTATTGAGGTGCTTTAATTATCTTTTTAGTACAAATTACAGCAACATGTTTACCTCAGTTCTTTTGTATGACATGGCTAAATTTTGAAGTGATCCTTGAACTGTTTTCTTTGAATCCTACAGCCATCATGTGGGCTGCCTTCCCGGGTAGGTGCACAGATGTGAGTGTGAACGGGTACAGACAGGGAACTACCAGGAAGACAATGGGCAGTCCACAGGCAAGGTATGAGAGCACAACAACTATACATACAAACCTAAAACAGTAGTTGATCCTTTGAAGTTTTCACTATTGATGAAATGTGCTATTGAAAAATATTGCTAATATCTCTTGAATCTTTTACTTTAACAAATCCTATACTGTAACAAAGACCAACAACTTGAAATGCATTTAAGAGGAATACAATGAAGTTATTATACAGCTTCTATTTTTCCAAGGGTGTTTACCTGCAGAAAGGAGCTTTTTGAGACCTTCAAAGAGCTTCTCAACAGTTTGCCAGTAGACAGCAGACCTGCAACGTTAAGGTAAGTACTGGTGTTTTGAGGACCCATGTTTTTTTATTGTAAATAGAGCTTTTATTGTAAATAGACATATCAGCACTAGCTACCCACTTTCTAACAATGTATCTCATTAAGTCCATGTCTTCTGACCTTTAGGTATATTAATAATACTAGTACCTTTCCGAAATTTGCAGTTGAGTCTCACTATAAAGGTAGTAGTAATAGTACTCCTTTATGCAGCCACATAAATGCCATAAATCCTATTAAACTTCACCAGATTGCAGCCTGTGTACATGAACTTTGAAAAGCATAGCAGAGAAAGGCACAGCTGTTCAATGTTATTTAGTCCTTTGTCCAAAGGCAAGCTTCACAACCGTAACTTATAATAGTATCCAAGGAGATGGCAAAACAGGTGGGCAAGAACAATACTTGACAGACTGACAAACCATGGAAAGTACCAGCCCTTAGGCTAGTTCCTCTTTTCATTGTACATGTTCCTACTTTTATTCATATCCACTGAGGTATGTCAAAATGGATTACTATTTCAGCAAATGTGTATGTTGAAAGTTGAATTAACTCAAGTTGTGTATCAGTGTAGTTTCTTGTTTTTAGTTAAAACTTTAGATCCAACACAAAAAGTTCTCTCACCCAAAGCTTTCGACCAGTCACCCTGGTCTTCCTCAATAGACTAACCCGGTGATAAAGTTTTAACTTTAAACATGTATTAAACTACCAACACAGATGAACCTTTATGACAGTGTAGTTTTCAATTGGTTTTGTTTTAGGCAGATGTACAATGTTGGCTATAGCAATCATATGTTCCATGCCTACTGTCTTCCCTACTCAGGTCTGAAGAGCTGTCCACTTACAGAGACTACAAAACAGCTGCAGTGGATCATTGCAAAGCAAGGACCTGCTTCTTAGATGTCTTTAAGACATGGATTGTGTCTCCTGGCAAATACTCAGACTTCAAGTGACAGTCCATGAATGAAAAGGCCTCAGTCCAATCCAGATAAAACCCCTGGTTCCGGGTCGGGGTTCGAACCCACAACCAAACCCAGGCACCAGTCCACATGCCGACGCTCTAACCACTGAAAAGGTCTAGACCCATCAGCCGGGTCAGTTGGTAGCGCCTATAAAACCCCCACTGTTACACTACTCCCCCTTTTCTTTTCAAGATTCGTCCTCGAATCTTCCAAATTCGACATCCCTGGAGCGGCACTCTTTGCCAGAACTCCCAGGGCCGGTGTGGGAACCACTGTAAGAAACAGGAGGAGCAAGTAGATACAGATTAAAACCCCTGGTCCCGGGCTGGGGTTCGAACCCATGACCTCCCAAGCACCAGCTTCAGACTCCGACGCTCTAACCACTCGGCTAAAAGGTCTAGACCCTACTCTACCCCCTTGACAACACAGTATACAAACCTTAATTCACAGACAGGTTCATGTTAAGGTATCTAGTAGGGAATGCTTTATTTCTTCCACTATAAACAACTTGGAAGACAGAACACAATAGTCTAGGAGGATTATAAAATAATGTCAGTACAACTGGTATGGCAATATGGTACAGCAACATAAGTGTCTTCCAGCAACATTTGTCATTTGATAGATACGGTCATTCAAGAAGTTTGAGTATTCAGTACATGTACACAACTGTTTGAATCTTGTACATACCTGTACCTGTGATGATCAAAAATATCCTTGCATCACTATATAATCTGCTTTCTTCATCAATGCTTTTGTATCCAAATGGAGATGTTAGGTCACTGATCATTGTGTTACTTGAGTTACACTGACAGACTTTGCCTTGAAAGCAGCAATATGAATGTAATAAAGGTACACAAAGATGATCGTTTATCCTATAATTTTTTTTGTCAAAAAAGTTACCTGTAGAGATTGTATGTTGAGCTTTTTTTTGGCAAATAAGTGCAAGGAGTCTCATCTCTTATTTGGGCATAATTCCATTCCTCTCAAAAGCAACATTGCAGTTATATTATTCATATTATCTAGCATTACTAGTAATCATAATTCGGGCTCATTAGCAACCAAACTGGTAGTATTTATATAAGCTTGTTGACATAGATATCGTGTAAAAGCCAGCTTGATCAACTCTCTGCATATAAACCTTTGAAACAATTTTAACAAGAACATACACCACTTAGGTACTAAACTAGTAGAATACATGACTTAATCATAATGCATTCTCCGTCACACAAACATTCCCACCTGCAAGCATGCACTCTTCAATACACTGATTTTTAAAAAAGTTTAAAAACAAACAAACAAATAAAAGTAGTTGTCTACTAGTTTGGCAAAGCAAAAACTTGTTTCATTCTGGCACTTAAAATATAAAACCCTAGGGCACATATCAACCACTTGTAAGATATGTTTTAGATCGATGACAAAAACTGTAACTTGTAAAATACAGATATATATTTTTTGACAGAGACTTCTGCTGTGGTTGAGTACTACTAGTAGTACTCGCACAATGAGGAGAGGTTCCTATCTCTTCATGACTATGCTATAGTATAAGAGGTGTTAAGATATCTAATAACTTCTGCATACTGTATAATGTCTACACTCCATTGTGCAGAAAAGTTACATGACCAAAGGGAGTTTTTGTGAACATGAACATAGCACTGTTTTTTTTTTTTGCTCCAGAAGTTAAGAAGTTAAAGCGAATCTTAGAGGTAGAGAGGACAACATCAAGAAATTTGGACTGCTTAATACGTCATTTGTTTTTTTTTATCACCTTTTTTAAAGTGCTTCCACAAATAAAAGTAGAAGATAAAATAATACAACTTAAGGGAATCAAGGCAAAGGGCCATAGTATTAAAACTTGTTGTAAACAATTAACAAATCTATACAATCGTTTCTCACATTTCTAAGAACCCCTCACCCAGTGGACGGCAACTTGTCCACCCGAAAGTTCATATATCTCCACAGCTGTTATCTGCTTTCTGTATCTCCAGCAATAGGTTTTACTTCAGATATTTCCCAAACCCATAAATACATTTGAATCATGATCACCATAGGGCATAAAACATGTTCTTCTGGCTAGATAGACCTCAGCCAGTTAACATGCAGACTGGACAGATAAACAACTCAAAACATCTTGTACATGTCTTGGTTATCGAGATATCTCTGTAATACATCTGTAACTTTGTACATCAGTTCATCCTGGTCGCGCATCATCAGTTTGTCTGGGGGCATACATGTGTCCGTATAAGCCTTGTAGTTGATTCTGTGCTTCAGAATCCAAAGGTATTTTCCCCACTGTATGCGATGTAGAGGAATCCATCTTCATCTTTGTGTTCATTGTAGATCTGACCCATATTGGCACTGGAAGAAGAATGAAATAGAGGAACATATACTTAGAAAGCAAATTTATTCAAAAACAAGCTCCAGATATATGACTTGAATCAATACAAACTAGAAACTACCTAAGGTAACATCTGCAGAGCAAATGCATAATGTTTACCTTCACATATGGTCTGCTCTGTTAATTCTTACTCAAACACATTCATATATATATATATATATATATACATGTATATAGTCAGACAGGAGTCTTAATCCCTCCTGCTATTAAATTGCAACATGATGTAACCCAACAGTAGTTCCCATGGTAACAGACAGTCTGGTTCAGGTCATTGCCCTTTTTGGTTTGGAGAAGAAGAGGAAACTGAACAAAAACAATATGTTTTCCTTTGGTAAAGATATTGAAAAGAAATTAAAAATGGTCTTCAGCCTACGTACCTTGACTGCGGCAGGACTTTCCCCACGAACAAGAAGATGGCGCGCTCCGAAGGCAGCTTGATGCGCTTGCGGATGATCCACATGAACTGTGCCACGGTGATGTCCGTCGGGACCAGGAACTTCTTCTTATCAATGTCTTGGATCTGAGAGTTGGGCACCTTTTCTACTACCACCTGGGAGGCAGAGGAAACATTATCTAACATGTAAATATGGAGGAGAGAAAATTGTTTTGTAATATAACAGCATCAGGACTTAATGACCCTCCACTAGCCAGGTCCTTGCCATGTTATAAAGTACATACAATTACATGTACTTCTGCTATCATTTGCACTGACAACAGTGCTAATTGTTACATCATGTGTTTGTCATAGGTTTCTAAAAATCATAAAAAGGTGTTGATTGAAATGACCTTCCAATGTCCTTGTCCTTATAAGCACCCTTGTCCCAGATGTGTCCTAACATGTTACCCTGAGAGTTAAAGGTCAAGTATCCACAGTAATCCACCCTAGGGCACTTCAATTGATTATATTTTCACCACACACATCACTACACACCCACACAAGGACACCTATTGGAAGCCAGCCAAATTGAACTAATGGAAATATAATGGAAGAACCAAAGAAGCCAAAACTTGTTAACATGAAAGTTCATCTGTGTTGGTAGTATAAAATGTTGAACTTTATTCCAACACAAATATTAAACAGAGATCGAATTTTCAACAACCACTGTCACCTTTATCAGGATAATTAATGACTAATCACTTCAAAATGCCAAAACTTGTGTTTGTATCCTGTTTACTACATGTTACACTATGTCCATTTCCTCTCACTTCCCAGAAAGATCTATTATTGTTGTTAAAGTCAGATAAGAAAACATACTACAGCCAAGCAAAACATGTCACTATTTTATGGATGACATCCTCAGCAGACTCCCAATCTAATGCGAGCGGGTGAAAAAAAAAAAAGAAGGCAGGCCAAAAAAGCAAGGTTCCTACATTTAAAATTTTTGACTCAATAATTGTACATTAATGGTTTTGATTCAATGAGAACATCACATATCACTGCGTGATTTTTTCCAAAATCAGGCGAAAATTCATGTGCGCGCTTTCAGTTTCAGTTTATTTAAGAAATCGACTTGCATGTTACAAAAAGTCACATGAAATACGTCGGATTAGTACATATTGCTCATGCGCTGATGTCATCCATAGAAATTACTTGCTGTGCCTAAAGGGAAAATACACAATGAAACATGAACTTACTGGTATCCGGTCAGGGTATTTTCTTCTGATCTTGTCAGACTCTGCCTGGCGTTGTTCTGTAAACAAATATACTGACATGTATTACTTAGTAATGTGCACAGTGCTCAATACGTGATCGTACATATTTCATGAGGATCAACCTGTCACAAAGTCTTTTGATAATTGCAGTTAATAACTGATGTTGCTCATATATTTCTCATGCACAAAATAAATATGTGTACATGTAATTGTAAATTACAATATATATCTATTTTGTGCATGAGAAAACTAAAAGATAACATGAGATAGATAAGGGCCTCTGCTATATCATTAGAAAAATAGGTTATCAATGGTGACAAAAAGTTGAATATGACACTCTTTGTTTTAGTACAATTAAGCGATTCCTTTTTATATGGGAAACGGCAGATGGATAGTTTTTCATCTAAAGTCGGATCAAATTTCATATGTAGACCACACAAAGAAGTAACAACACATCGAAACTGGAACAAGTCCAAGAGGTTGTCCTAGATTTTCCCTTTTCAAGTCTGCACTAACTCAAGGGTGGGACAAAGTCCAAAATGTCATCATCACTGATGATAGGTACTAAGTATATGATTTCTTCATAAATTACAGACAACGTAGATGTTTTTTCAGCACATGGGGACCAAATCAGGACCTTAAAAACAAACGTGTTCCTTAAATGTGGCACTGAAACGTGTTGCTATTTCGTCATACACGAAAAACAGAAGCTACACACCGCGTAGCTTTCGGAAAACACCTCAAAATTTGACACAACAGCTGCACCAGCAAGTTTTGGACTACACCTTCTAACTAAAATTTTACGGAAGTGAGGGAATATTCGCTCCAAATTTCACGTGTACTTACCCAAGGAGTGTTCCTCCTTGTATTGAAACTTCATTTTCTACAGAAGATGTCCTCCTCGTGTCGAATTTCGGGTGAAAATGCGTAAAAATTTCCGCCTATGACTCAGGTCCCAGTTTGTTTTGATGACTGAAGATCAGCTGAATTCTCGGAATGACGTAACCAGACGGACCGTTCCATTCGCGTGTCAATGATTTTTACACGGCTTTGGCCTACAAAATATCATAAAAACACACTAAAGTTAACATGCAAAGTAAGTTCTTATAAATAATTGCAATCTCGAGCATCAAAATGTGGTAACAATCTAAAATATATTTTACTCAGAAACCCCCTCCAAACGAGTGAAATAATCTAAATTACCCACAAACCTCTTCGGTAGACAAGTTGACCTGTACGCATCAAAATGCAATGTTAAGTGCAAAATATCCTACTGTAAGCATGTTTCGAACTAATTATTACATTTTATCAAAAATTAACGATAAAATAAAATTTGTAGTGTTACCATTAAAAAATTATCTCTATTTAGTGTATATGCCTTATTCCTAATTAGTTGTGTTGATGCGTTCACATTCCTCACGTTCAAAAAATGGCGGTGGTAGAAATCTACGCTCATCCCGTTTTACATCGCTACAAAACCAGCATTTGTACAAAAGCGACGATATTTGTGTTCGCGTGCTTTCTCCTGACATTCATTCCGCCGATATTGGTAGCATACAGGAGTCAGGGTAAGCCTTAAAATGTTGTGAGGAAGTAGAATAAAACGTTGAAGGTTGTTGTCGTTTCACAGTCTTCTTCCATCTATCTATCGGGTCTGTATGTTGTTTATCATATCATGATGGTGCACCCAACCTAAAAATTAGGTGCACAAAAAAATTCGGTGCACCATATAAAACAAAATCTAATTACAGGTCTTACTGCTCCTCTTCTGAGCTTGAATCTGAAATGGGACCTAAAAATAACTTAAAAAGCTGAAACAAGTACTACAACAAAAATTTTATAATTTTCTGACACGTAGATGTCAAGAATATCCTGCATACTATTATACATTTGATATACCGACAAAATACCGACAAAATATTTGGGTGCACAGAAAAAAAAGTTGGGTGGTGCACAGCTCCAATTTTGGGTGCACTAAGTGCACCCAGTATTTCGAGTAAATTACATGTATAGTAATATAGGAGATAGTAAATTTATGATACAGACTACATTTGATAAACGTTGATGTAGGTTTCTGGCAGAGAGAGGCGACGTACAGAGAGCAGCCCGATGTGAGTTTTAAACACCAGGTCCTGCTGCTGCTGCAGACCTCTCAGACTGGAGACTACCTGGTGTGGAGCACCTATCAGAACTTCAACCAACTGCAGCAGGGCAGGGTCAGGGTGCCACTCGTCAAGGTAACACTGATGGAATCTCTGTGTACATTGTACTTTATATGCTTGTCATTGCTTGATGAATTTACTAGTATCCAGTGTTCTGACCAGGCCTTGGGGCCCCCTATGCTGTGATTTAGACCCCTATGCTGTCTTTCAACCAGCATAGGGGTGTTTCTGGGAGGAGAACCTTCATAAATCTTGCAAAAAAAAATGAAAATATAACTTTAGAATTATGCTATGGCAAAGGGAAAACCTTAACTCCACTCTCTTCCTCAGTAAGTGAGAAATAGTGTCTCAGGGTTATGAGTTTCAATTTGTTTCTTTTCCTGCCCCCTATGCTGGGAAAAAATACTGGTGAGAACCCTGTCATCCTTTACAACTTATACCAAGGAGATTAAAAAAAATTGTTTTTTTAAACCTCCAAGCATCTGTGGCCGTGGGTTTACAGAAAGGTCTACTGTTCCATGACAAAATGAAGAAGCATATCACTACAGTCATGACTGAATGGTTGATGGCTTTATTAAACCATTCTCTTCTCGTCACCCTTTTAGTCCAGGGAGGAAGACTCTAACAGGGATGGGAAGTCTGATGCCCTACAGATGACAATACAGGTTCCCTTGTTGGACACAGAGGAAGTCTACAGTGTCGACCTTCTGCTGTTCTTTCAGTACAGACTTTACGTAAGTAGGGATGGTAGAGGATAGGTTAGTACAACAGGGTTCATATTGGAATATGAATAACATGGATGCAACTTTTGTGGGGTCGTGTGGTGTAGTGGTACTACCGTAGCATCTTTGGCCCGGAACCAAGAGGTCCTAGGCTCGAACCCCGCCTGGTCACCGATCTTGTGCCCTTGGGAAAGGCACTTAACTCAATTTTAATCATTTCACTCAGGTGCAAATGTGTACCTAGCTTCCGCTAGAGACGTCCCTCGGATAGGACATTAAATGGACATGCCCGTAGCCAGGGGGGGTTCGGGGGGTTCGGAAGAACCCCCCACAAGGCTCAAAGGTCCACTTTTTGGTCCACTTTTTATGTAAAGGTCCACTTTTTGGTCCACTTTTTATGAAAAGGTCCAAGATTTTTGTTGAAAAGATAGACTGGAATCGTGGAAAAACTGCCCTCTTTGTCATTGAATAAAAATTTATCTGTGATTTTTTCTTTGAAATACTCTCAAAAACGCACGAAATGCCATTTTAGAAGGTTCATTTTTCAAAATTTTCCGGGGGAGCATGCCCCCGGACCCCCCTAGAAACCTCACGCCTTCGGCGCTCGCCTCACGCCTACGGCGCTCGAGGTCCCCTCAAGCAGTGGGAAGAACCCCCCCATTCAAAATCCTGGCTACGGGCATGATGGAGGTCTATGTGTTTGGGGAGAGCCACACCCCACATGTTAAAGAACCCACCACACCTTTCGAAAAAGAGTTGGGGAATGCCCCGGTGTGCGATGGTCCAAATACTTGTCTGATTATTCACTACGGACTCCAGGAAGAGTAGCATGAAATTCACACTAATGGAGATACTAAAACAAAACAAAACAAACATTTGCTATTTGTAAATAGCACTGTCATACAGTATGATACATGCTGCAAAGCACATAAGGTACAACAACAACAGCTGTGCTTTAACAGCCTTGTTTCTTCCACAGATTTTCTCCACCTTCACCATGGAGTGTATGGCATACCTCCACCACACTTCCCCCCTCCCCGGAGCTGACCTGACTGTGGCAGGGGACCTGAGGTTACACCAGAAGTACCCGCTGGCACACACAGGCAGGGACACCAGGTTTAACGTATGTGTGGCTTTAATTCCTTCTGAGGAACATGTTTCTAATTCCACTGTAGAAGTGGAAACAACCATGCATAATATTCTGTACTTGTTGAGTAAGTTTTTAAAATCATGTTCAATATGTTACATCATTTGAATTCAGTAAAGCCGACTGCTGCCAACCCCTGTGACAACAGCAGCAGTATAATCAAATCCTGGATAGTGATAGTGAGTGTGAAAGAATCAGTAGCTTCCATGGCTTATTGACTTAGTTTGGTCTGGTAATCATATGATACTAGTAGGTTCATGACAATTTTTTTTCCTGTACAGACCTCCATCATAGACAGTACCAGCATATTTCCAACTGCATACGATCTGAGAACAATCTTTGAGTCCTACAGTGGTAGGAATGGTAAGTACATCGTGTACATATCAGTTAGTTGCCATTCCATTGTTCTCCTGTCATCATTTACACACACTTACTTTGAATCTCAGTGTGCTTTCTTCTCATTGGCAGATAAACTATTCTTCTGTTTTCAGTTTCTACCAACTTCCTGACATACTACCCAGTATGGAGGACAGGGAGAGCAACTGGCCAGCCTTTTGTCATCTCAGCCACTGTCAGATACCCAGAGGAAACCATACTATATCCTTTCATGAGCTTATATTGTCGTGAACTAAAATGCACAAATAGATATAACTTTGTTCAAGATAATTTGTGCCATGATCAGTATTGATACAGCCTTTTCACCTAGGGTTCTTTTTATGTTTACCAAAGGAAAACATTGCTTTTACTCTGTTTCCTCTAAGGTCAATGACCTGAACCAGACATCTGTTACCATGGTAACTGGTGTTAGGTTACATCATGTTGCAATTTTATAGCAGGAGGGATTTAGACTCCTGTCACCATATATATGAACATGGTGTACTTGTTTGAGTAAGAATTAACAGTGCAGACCATATGCAAAGATATATAACATTATGCATTTGCTTTGCAATGTTACCTTTCTAGTTCACTTTCTACTTTTACAGCCAATTGATTCCTTAACCAGATCTCACATACAGACCAGGGTTCTGGCAGCTCATCAAGTGGGGCTGGGTGCAGTACATCTCCATTTTGTTGGTCTTCTTGTTTGTCTTTGACAGAATCAAGACTTTTGTATTTGAGAATCAGATCTTGAACACCGTAGTGGACAGCCCAACCAAAAAGTTCAAGCAAGGTTGAAGAAGAATCAAGTTACCATAGCACATTGTACATTACAATACAAACATCAACAGTACTAAAAACCATTACAAATAGACCCAATTGCTTGAAATTGTGATATTGTTGCTTGATGTTGTCTTTGTGTAGCTTTATAAAGAAAAATTATAGACAGCATTCTCAGTGAGTGTGAATTTGTTCTGAATTATGCTCTGAAAGGTCACTTTTAATTCAATCATTTATCCTGGTTTGTTGAATACCTTATCAGATGTTGTGTGTATATATAGTAGTCATTCCTATGCAGTGAACAAGCAAATGTGTAAATATCAATGACATAGTCTGTTCTTTTAGTGTACAATCTTAGCATTATGTGTACTGTTCTATAGCAGAACATGACATTTCTGTATGCTTCTTGTTTAACCATCATGAAAGAATTCTCAAGTTCTGTAAATTTTACTAAACTAAGAGGGGGTTGTATATTTTCTATGAAATGTTTTCTACATTACTTTGACAAGAATAAATCTGTTGTGTCATTTTTTGGTATGCTGTTCACCTCAGTCCTTACTTAAAAATGTTTTTGTAACTGGCAGTACATTATAGTCACAGCCTTGACTCAGACTTTCTACATCAGACTTTCCTTAGCTACTTTAGCAGCCATGCTGCAATGAGTATATCAATTTCAATTGGTTGTGAAAAATCTTGAATATGCTGTAAAAGGCATGTCATCAATACAGGCTGAAAATGTGAAATCCACCAGTACACGAGTGGGTACTGTTTTGGGTTGAATGGTTGAGAGGCAGAAATGGTTTATGCACAAAATTTGTCCCAAAGCAGCTCTAGGTCTGCTATTGACAACTAAGTAACAAAACTATTTCCAGCATTGGCAACACCATCTAAATGTTGTAGAAAAAAACATCATCTGTTGTCCTCTATAATCATGGTCCTGTGTGGGTAGGCATCTAGCTGCACAAATAGGTACCGGAAACTGTCATACTTCCCTCCGTCATTCTGAAACAATAACAATACATGTATGCTTTCATTGACACCAAATAACAACTGCTATATGAGGGGGCATCTGCCTCCAACATTCAGATGGTCAACACATAGACAAGAAAACAAGATGATAAACAGGATCCTCACCTCTGTGACTTCCAGGTGTACAGTGGCCCGTCTGCCACTCCCTCCCTTCAGGTAAAACTTCATCCGCAGGTGCTTCTTCCCTGTCTCATCCGTGTATTCTGTGTAACTAAACAATTGCAGAAAAATACATGAACTCAAAAAAGAAACTTAAAATCCATTTATAGTGACTGAAAACCTTTGCAGACATTTAATCCTTCAGTATATCAGATATCCACTCACCAAAGATAACTATATAGTATATAGAATATTACAGATCATTTGCTAAATAATGAACCATACTTACGCTGGATGTCTACGCCTTCCTCTCCTAGTTTCCTCTCCGAAACCAGCAATAGGTGTACCTAAGGCAACCTTCACCTACAGACAGCAACATACTTAATTACTCACACCTCAAAAACTATTCAAATAGCAAAGCACTAGCATATCAGGCTCAAAAGAAGTATTGATGGTATACTTCGAAGACAACTGAATTTGCACTTGCTTATATTTCGACTGCATATGGTATGCTCTGTTTTACTCAAACACATGGCCAGAAAGGAGTCTAAATCACTCCCGCTATAAAATTGCAACATGATGTAACCCAACACTAGGTACTAGTATGGTGATAGACTGTCAGACATCTGGTTCACGTCATTGACCTTATTTGTTTGGAGAAGAAGAGGAAGAAGAACAGAGCAAAAACAATGTTTTGTAAACATACTAACTTGTTGGCTGCAGACCAAAACTTCTAGCATTCCACATGTACTTTTTTCAACTTCAAAGACATAACTTGTCTTCTCCCTACCTCTTCATTCTCTTTGCACCTTTTCATAGCATCAGTATAAATGCCGTTGATACTTCCGCCCGAGAACAGTTCTCGACCAATGGCGTAGAACAGCAGCCCCATCACCCCAACTCCAAATATCACAATACCGAGGTATGTCACGTCTTTCCCTGCCTTCACAACTGTGAGGAAAGTGGAAATCATTATTAACAATTTCATGACTTTTATATCTACTCTTAATTACTGTGTAACTGGGACCACATGTATCAACATAAAGTTTGAAGCATTACTCTAGTAGTAGATATCATTAAGAAGCATTAAAGTGTAAATGTATCATTGTTTCATCATTAAGCATGAATGGTACAAAGTGGAAAGTTCCATACACATTTGTGATAACAATACATGTATATGTTCCTACGCAGTAACAATATGGTTTTAATATGTGCAAGATGAACACGAGGCATTTTAAGTTGTCTTGATCAAGTGCTAATATGTAGTGTAAATTAAGTGTAAATATTCTCTCTTTGTAATACCATACTAAGTACTATAATTCACCCAAAAAGCTGCCTGATTGCCATGGTTGTTTTGAGTCCCCACAATAAACCATTGTTTTATTTTTTATATCATTTTTTTTTTTTGCAATCTGTGTATAAGATGAATAGTTAATATAAGGGTTCACCTCTCTGTCCGACGGTCAGCTGTCCACCTGTCCCCCCATCTCTGCTCTCCACCACCTCCCTCCTCCCCCTGTCCTCAGCCTTTCTCATCTGCAGCCGGCACGGCTGCCAACACGGCGGGCCTGCAGCTCTCAAAAACTTCCTACTCAGGACCTGGACATCCATCTGTACGGGGAACTGAAGCTGTTTCGTACTCATCTCTCTATTTGTGGACCTATGCACGTTTTTCACAGCTCCAACGGCCAATGCCACTATCTCCATTTTGATGGGCTTGTGAGGATGGAGCCTTGACAACATAATTGCAATGTTTCACTGACAAGATAACCATGCAAAACGGCCTAAACTTCAACCCTAAGTCTAATTTTTTCCCAAAAATGGTTCGGTTGAGCAGGTAACATTGAGAAAATCGGACAATTGAAGAGAAATTGAGCTAGTTCAGTTCACATGTCCAATGTGTCTATGTCCTTCGCTTAACATGATATGCGACCTTTGACCTTCCAGACTGACCAATCAGCATCGAGATCCATACGTTTGTGCCAACATGGCGGAAGTTGGTTGTTTTCGCACCGATTCTGAGGTAATGTTTGCGTTTTTGTCCATTTTCCAGCGCAAGATAGATCCTATCGGTGATATTTTTACTCGCTAATGATTAGGATAGACCTGGGATGAATTTCCATCGAAATTCTAATCACAGAACCTCGAGAATATGCTGATAATCCGCTGTTGTTTGTCCGACTCTATGTTTGCAATTTGATATCGATCCCAAGAGGACAACAAAGAAATGATTAACTAGTATCTGTGGATCAACGCATCAAATTATACAGATGTATCAATCGTCCAGCAAATTATTTTCCACTTTAGTATTAATGTTATACATGTAGTTGATTGATAATTTTTACGTGAGTATGTGTAGTCAAAGCATATGTTGTTTGTTTTGCGAATTTTTGTGTTTTCGTGATGTACTGCAAGCAAATATTATACCAATCCGCTTATGTTACCGTATTTTTTTCTCTTTCCGACAGACTTTCCAGTTGAAGAAGACCGTACCATGAAGGTGACTGGTCGTTAGGCGTGGCTACAGTGACATCATATTTACGCTCAATCCGGCCCATTATAATTAGCCCATTATAATTAGAGAACCGGTTTTTGCCCTGGATACGTTGGAAGAACACATGACTGCACCCATATAAAGCTCAACCCACCATCATCAGCTACACTACCTACCAATTTAAGATGAACAGATGACGTTTATTCCTGTATCCTGAAAAAAAAAATCATAATTTGAAGCAGAAAATAGTCCTCATACACAGTCTGTGTGCAAGACAAACAATATGGATAACATTGAACTTCGGCTGACCCTATCGGAGGTGTCCATAATGGACTTGGTGTCGTGGATCGCATCGGGAGCGATGATCTTTGGTGGCATTGTGCCTTATGTTCCACAGTACAGACAGATCAGAAGGACAGAGAATGCAGAGGGGTTCTCCACTTATGTCTGTCTGGCCTTACTGCTAGCCAACACACTCAGGATATTCTTTTGGTGAGTAAGATCAATACCTGTAGTAGAAATAATTTTGTTTTTTTATTCATGATTTTTAAAACTTCAATGATTAGATATGGTTCATTATATAATTACATATATCGGTGGGGTTGTGTGGCGCAATGGCAGAGTGCTCGACTCTGAACCAAGAGGTCCCGGGTTCGAGTCCTGACATGCCACCGATTTTGTGCCCTTGCAAAAGGCACTTAACAGGACTTTCCTCACTTAAGTAAAAGTGAGTATTGTCCTGTCCTGTATTTGTTTCTATGTGTGAGAAACAACACCAGCAACGGCTGCCTGTGTCCAACTTGTATTGTAAACTACAATTTCAATAAATCAAAATTAAAATCAAATCAAATTAATATTTCTTTTCTGTATACTCAAAGGTTTGGAGTTCATTTTGAGCTCCCCCTCCTGGCCCAGAGTATCATAATGAACTTCACCATGATGGTGATGCTACACTTGTGTACCAGAGTTACACAGCTGAATGAGATGTCTACCAAGAGGAGAGCCTTCCTGGGTGGGTATACTGTCTATGTATAACAGCACACTGACAGAGACACTTACAGCTTCATACTAGTAGCTCCCTGAATATCAGTATTACTATTAGTACATTAGTTCAGCTTACAACAGCCACGGTATTACTATTAGGCCTAGGAAAAAAATGTTGTTTTTCCTGTTTTGTAGGCTTTTTTTGGTGGACCCCTGCAAGGGACATAAATTTTCGAGCTTTTCTAGCTCCATCATCTGACATGTGAGTGATGAAACATTGTACAATTGGTTTTCAGACATTTACACTGAAAATAAAAGTGTCCTCATGCAACTTTTACTTTGTTAAAATGTAATGTATAAGTTAGACCCCTAAATAGATATCATTTAAGTCTAAAAGGAAAAAAAATCCCTACCTACAGACCCTAATTTTTTAGGACTGAAACAGGAAATGCAACATTTTTTTTCCTAGGCCTTAGTACATTAGTTTGGGTTACAACAGCCAGGGTATTACTATTAGTACAGTGTACAAGTATGTTTCATTCAGAGCTAAGTATAGAGGAAATACACATGGCACACATACAGACCTTTGTGATGTCTACTTTCAGTGTTCTGTCATTCTTCTAGTATCTTCATGTTCTTTCTCTAATCCTCTGGTATTATGCATGTTGCCAATTGAAACTGCAATGACGCACTGCAATGCAACTTTTAATGGGATCTTGTGCCAAGCATGTATAGTTCTAAGTGTGTTGTTTGAATGTCATATTTCCCTTAAAAGGCCATGCCACTGAGTCTTTGTTGGAAGGTTTGTCCCCGGAAAAAGCCAACAGAGAGGAAAATAAGGAACTCCTTGAATTTGCTGAGGGGATGGAAATTAGAAAAAGGCATGAATGTGGTATGTAATATGTACATAAGTATGTATCTAGAGTTTCTAAGAATTTTTTTACCCATTAAGTCTCCTTTTCCTTGTAATTTTTTGGTTCACCCCTTTAGTAAAACCCCTCTGCATGCCTTAATTTTGCTTAGTTTTGCATGTAACAATCAAGTTTGAGTAATGTCGCCAATAACAAGACTCAATTCAGACTTCAGATCCTGTTCAAATCTGTAGAGTTCTTTGTCCTGTAAAATTGCATGGAGATGAAGTCCTTGATCACTATCAAATGTGATTTTTGTGTTTTAACATTAGTTTGTATAAAATCAAGTGAGGTTTTCTATGGTGATGTAGACATTTCATCCTGTAAGAATGACTATTGAGTTTTGGGACTTTTTTTACACCTTTGATTGAAAGACTCTAAGTTTTTACTCACTGCCTTTTCTGGGCTTCCTGTCCCGTGTGTCCAGCTGAGCTACAGCAGGGAAAACCTGGTCTGAAAGACGCCAGCAGTCAAACTGACCCTGAAACTGCTCACAGGTTCCTGGGTGGGTATGGAACTGTTAAAGGGGCTTTCCACTCCAGAAGCGGGTATTATTTTCTGATAGATAATTTTTTGGGGGGATACAAAGGCACCCGACTTTTGGCTAAATTACCTCAGCAGTCTTTTCGACAATAATCCTTTTCTAAATCCATGTACATGTACCTTCATACAGACCCGCTTTTAATATACAGTATGTTTGCCTGTATGGTCCACTTTGGGCACAATTTCTCGCTAACAATAGATGGGCTTGGCATAACAGCAGCATTTGAGTGACTGTCACACATTTACATGTAGGAAGGTTCACAAAATGTTGAAAATCTAAGCCTGTCTTGGGGTACAGAGATTTTGACACTTCTTTTTCTCTGACGAATCATATTAATACCCGCTTCTGCAGTGGAGAGCTCCTTTAAAAGTGGCATGTGAGGATGTCATCAGTCTTTTGGGCTTCGTCCACCCGATCCTTCATACTAGTATTCACCAGTCTAAACAAACTACAAAGTCGCATATGATACCAAAGTGGAGCCTGGGGACATCCTAAGTTGTGTAAAACTTTCCATCCAAGAACAGAATACATGTACATCTACATGCATGTCAGTGGTGTTGCTAGTTAGTCTGTTTCAAGATCCCATTACAAGTTGTACAAAGTATGAGCACTTCCTTAAGTTCCTTAAGGTGTAGCTTATATCTAGCAGCATGCTACACATTACTAGCCATTGTGGCACTTGTGCTGTTGATGTCTTAAGATATTGCTTTGTTGAAGAAGAAACCTTATTATTATTAGTCTTGGTACATTTTTGATAGTACCTTTCTGTGTGTGATTGACGTACATGTATGCTTCATCACCTGGTGCTTGGTGTATGCCTAATTTTCAGGTATCTTACATATATCTGATCATATGTCTAGGTTCTTTACCTTTGACAGATCATACACACTCACTCACTTACTCACACACACACACACACACTTAATTTATGCAAACATCATAATCCTGTATTTTGTTAGGTCTGACTAGACTAATCTCATAATCATATGTTTAGAATGTAATAAAGAATGTTCATTTTTTATAGTCACCTTTATAGGGAAATACTGAAATGTATTGAAGAACACAATAGGCACATTATGTACTATTCAGCATTTTATGTGAAAAACTGGGAAAATTGATGTATTACTTTTTGTACATGTACTACGAAGTGGTTGTCCTAAGCCTTTGTTTATCATAGTCTGTTAAGACTACCGATAGTAATGAGTGATTGCTCTCCTTGTTTCCTACCAGACTTTGACCATAGGTACTTCTGGAAGTGGACCAAGTTCAGAGACTACATCCAGTTTATGTGTGTGTTCACGCTGATTGGAGGCTACATCACGTACATGTGCCTGGACTTCCCTGTGTATGTGGAGACTGTGGGCTTCCTGGCAGTGTTTGTGGAGGCTCTGTTGGGGGCACCCCAGTTCTGGAGAAACTACCAGAACAAGTGCACAGTGGGGATGAGGTAAGCATGGGTAGCATGATGGGAACAACACGGTGACATATAGGAATAAGGTGATCCTAGCCTGGGCAGGGTTCTCACCAGGATTTTTTCACAGCGTAGGTGTCAGGTACAGAAGCAGAAGGGCAACTTTTGCTGCACAAGTCGCGCATTGAGCTGAAAAATTTTGAAACTCATAAAGATACTATTTCTCACTTATTGAGGGACAGATTTTTTTATGAAGTTAAGATTTTCCCATTGCTATAGCTTCATTCTAATGTTATATTTTAATTTTTTGCAAGATTTATAAAGGTTCTCCCTCAAAAAGCACCCCTATGCTGGTTGAGCAGCAGCATAGGGGTCCAAATCACAGCATAGGGGGCCCCTATGCTCAAATAGCCTAGTGAGAAGTACATGTACTAGTATGCTAGGACAGTGGGAATGTAGACACCTGGCCATGTGTGTGATTTCTGCAGCACAAAGTCCACATGAGGAAACACCTTTGACCTGTTCATACACCTTATTGATTGGGCAACATCACATGATGGCAATATAAATATATAAACACTTTATAAGCAGGAGGAACTAGATATTGCGCATATCTTCTGCCTTCACTTTACCAATTTGGTAACCAATTTGTGATTATGATTGTCACCAAGATGTGATTGTCATTGAGTCTTTGCATTTAGCTTTGTATTGTGTACATGTAACTTCACAAAAACTATTTGAAACACAGTCTGTTTTGAATTATATATAATAACATGATTTCTTGTTTTTCAGTGTAAAGATGGTAGGTTTCTGGACCAGCGGTGACACCTTTAAGACTGCCTACTTCATCATCAACAAGGCACCTATGCAGTTCTGGATATGTGGGTTATTACAAGTTGGGATAGACATTGCAATTCTACTACAAGTATGGATATATAGGAAAAACTTACACCCAATATCAAAACCTGCCAAGCCTATATAATCCCTTATTAGAAAGGAGAGAAATTTTTGTTCTGTTGAGCAACATTTCAGTATTAAGTTATTAAAATGGGTGAAATCATAAGGTTGTCTAGGTTATATATATTATTTAACTATAGCTAACCTACATGAAAAGATATATGTTTCTCCACACCTTCCTTGAGATTTGCATAAGTGGGATTTAAAGATTTTTATTGTGGTTTTAGTTAGTTTTAGTTTATCTACTTTACGTCATTATCATGGTTACAAATGCTCTTGTATTCCATGTATGCAAGTGAGTCATGTAGTTAAGTTTTATGACAAGTATGTTGGATGTCATGCCTCTGTCTCAGGGTTAAATTTTGCTTTACTTTAACATTCTGCAGGGATTTTCCCTTGTGAAAGTTTCATGTAAGATTTCAGCACAAGGCTTAGAAACTTACCCGTGCACAAAGAATGCTGTTGTCCACAATTTATTTATAGTGACTATTTAACAAGGCCCTCTTTACTCATACCGGGGTATTGAAATTTTGAAAAAAAAAGTGAAATCTGTCAACTCTTATTAAACCATTGAAGTCACAACTTCCTTCAATACTATCATTTAAGTTCATATACTCTGGTACAAATTGTTTTGCATAAAGTAACCATGACACCATGAAAAGGAGTTTGTTTCATCGATATCAGGTTTAGTCCATACTTCCAACTGTGACCTGTGCGGACACACTTGAATAGTACTTGTAATACATTAATTTATAGTGTCTACTGGATGTTGAGGGATCAGATAGGCTCACAATAAAAGTATGGAAGACCCATCAGTCTGAGTTTCCATTTCATGTACATAAACTTCACATGAGTGATTGACAAGAGTGATTTGAGTCACCAGAAAGAGAATTCACCACATTGTATTTAATGTCAACTGGCCCAACTTGTAACTCTACATAAATATGTAATCGATGGCACATTTAATTTGTTCCACGTGTTCATTCTTGCATTTCACAAGTTTAAAGGTTGAACAAACACTCCCCTGATAACTTAGCATATTAATACATGTAAACAGCAAACAGCATACATATAGATTCTAGCACCACTAGGGCAAATTAAAGGAATTTTGTCAATTTGCTGTTTTCAAAAGAAGGTATTTCAAACTCATTTTTTTTCTTTTTACCATTATGGAGTGAAGATAATGTGATGGCAACTTCAACTGAAGTTTTCACCTTTAAAAATGTTATCAACTTTATGTGATATCACTGTCAAACAAAGAATATAATAATTTATAAGATACTGCTGGTTTTAAAAATAACTTATATCAATGGCAAGAACAGTGATAAAATTGCTCACAATACCTTGAGTTTGCTATCCATGTAATCACATAATGGTACAATGACAGCAGTTTTGAATCTAGGTTCATTTTTGTTACCACTACTTTCTGACTACTCACACTTGTACCAGACATACATATTTAGAACACAATCAATATCTGCTGGCATATCATCATACTTCAAAGTGAGCTATATTTATCTGTAAACAGGACTTGGTTTGTTTACCGAGTCTGCCCAATATTATGGCAAAACACATGGTTAATCATGCAAGACCGTGTTTTGCTCATTCACGGAACAAAACCACCAAACAGAATTCATGAAGGAGCCCTTAATTTATACCAGGTGTTTACTGGAGGTAGACAATTTGCACAGGTAAAATCTCAGGAAGCCAGTGTTATAACCCATGCATTAGTATTGCACTGACAAATGGTAAACATTGTAACAAAAGGTACAAGCATAGGGGATGACGATATAACTTTCACAGATGCATCACACATATAACATCCTGTACGTGATGCCCTTATAAATATTTAATTATAACACAAGAAAGAAAAAATAGATGACCTACTCAGGCCTTATTAATTATATGTATGGAAGGCAGCAGCTGTATGCTACAGGTCTGTTTTGGTATAAAAGGACCATCAGCCCATATCAAATGACAATGTCAGTGTAACCAGTATATTGAGTTTTGAGGCAAACTCAACAACAGAACTTATTCATGATGGCTTTGACTACAGTTTCTCCACAACTATGTCTCTTTAATCATTGAAATATGGATGAAAGTACGCACATATTCACAATGTAACTGTCAAGAACAATCATGTACTAAAACATCATAACATACTGGTCCATTACTGGCACATCATTGGTATTATGAAATACTACAAAACTATTAAGGACTAAAAAAAATATAATATATAATTATTATCATCAAATTTTTCACTGATTTAGTCTTTTCCTTGTTACCTTATGTAATCTTTCAGCACGAAATCAAGAATTCAAGTCTTCAAGATAGAAAAAAAAGTGTAAAGATAATAAATTAAAATGTTAACGTTGTTAATTGTTTGAACTGGCATTCAAGAAGTGATTTCGTCTTTAAAATTTGGTTCTTCACAGGCACTTTTGGTTTATGACTTTGTCAAATATGGAATGATCTAAATTCAAATCTTGTTATCCCCTATCACAATATACCGGAATATTGTACGACAAAATTCCTATTAAAGAACTTTAACTTTTTTTGTTACATATGATAATCATGTATGGCAACAATACCGGTAGCTGTAAAGAAACTTAACAGGCTTATTCCCTCAACAATTGCACATGGTTGTCTAATACCCCTTTGGAATCATGCCATTTAAACTTGCAGTGTTGGCAAATGTGCTAATCATTTCAACATGTATAAATACATATGCACACAAACACATCTATTGAACTCTTTCATCAGCAATTGCTATAAACTAAAATCTCACTTTATAAATTAAAATCTCGTTCAAACGGTTTGCTACAATCTGTCAGGAGGCTGGTGGGGGCGGCAGTAACCCTGCATCCAGGATGTAGCACTACTGCTGCCTCTCATCCGCTACCCAGAATTCCTCAGAGCCTGAGCTCTGATTGGCTGGCTGCAGCCCCTTGGCCTGCTGGGATAGCTCCCCATCTCTCCTGTGCTGTGCCATCTCCATGAGGTGCAGGTGATCTTTGGTTTGTTGACTGTTCAGCCTCTTTGGGTAGGTGGTGAGGGTGGTGCCTGAGGAAAGGTGGGGCTGGTGCTGCAGCAGAGCTTTGTTGAGCTGGACCCGGGCTTGTTTTACAACGTACACCATCAACAGGACACTTAGTCCAATCTGTGGTGAAAAGAAATTCCAATTAGTTCAGACAGATACAATCTTCTTGTCTCTCAGCACTTCTAATGATAGTTCTTAGTAACAATAACAATGTATTGATCATGAGTTCTTAGTCACCATATGTTGTAGCTTGTAACCAAGGACATAATCTCCCTACAACCTCCTTGTTGTAGCAAGGACATTGGAACCAATGTCCTTGGTTGTAGCAATGACACATTGAGCCATAATTATATCGTAAATTAGTGTGACATGACACCCTTATTCCCTAATAACAAAGTTGAAACAAATGAAAGCATCTGAAGGCAAAGGTGTGAAGGGGGCAACTTCCTGCCATTATCACATTAAATGTACATGAATCTAATTTGTGAACCATTCATCAGAATGTGATCTGTATTCTCCCCTAATATCTACTTGGAGGATTGATGAACCATTGATGGGAATGCGATCTGTATTCTCTCCTAATATCTGCTTGGAGAATTGATGAACCATTGATGGGAATGTGATCTGTATTCTTTCCTAATATCTGCTTGGAGAAGTATTCCTGACCTGTGCCCCTAACACGATGTAGTCATTACTGGAGGGGTTATCCACCACCTCCTCCACGGAGTGCAGGCTGGACCCGATGTACGTGTTGAGAGCTTGTGTCGGCAGGAGGCCCAGGGTGGAGGCAGTCATGTACCTGAACGTCTGGACTTTGCTCACCTGAAGTACAAACAGAATAGGACAGTGTTTAAGTAAAAATGAAACAACCATTTGGTGCTCTCACCGCCAAGGCCTGGGTTCGATTCCCGGTGTGGGAACCGGTGAAACAACCAGGAGCGAGTAGAAACAGGAAAACCCCTGACTACCGGGATGCCGGGAATCAAACTCACAACGAACCCGGGCAGCCAGCTTATGACACAAGCACGCTAATGACTATGCCAAACGGTCCGGACCCATTGGAATGGATCTGTTAGCGGCTCTTGAACCTCACTGTTGTTACAAAAACTCCATATTACCCTGTGTATGTTTTGAAGAGATTTGCAAGGAAGACTGGTATTAGGAATACTGTTCTTGAGTCCGAGAAGCAAGTTATATCCTTGGACTGGCCTGCCCATGTTTTCAGCTAATTAGGTCACCTCATCTCCTGCTGACATACACAGTCCAACTGTGCTGGAGGCGTGGCATGGGAGGATGAGTCACCTGGGCTACATACCTACCTCACACCCGCTGGATGACAGACCAGTCGGACCACTGTTGTTAATGACTTAATCTCAAGTCAGACCTACACCTAGGTTGTGCCCTAACAACAACCTTTACCCTAACCAAGGAGGTTCAAAAAGAAGACCTCCTTGTCCTACTCCATAATCTTGGTCAAGTCCTAACCCTAACCCAACACCTAGCCCTAATGGTGTTGGACTGAGTTGAATGGTCCAAGTTTACAATGATCCAAAAGGTCTTTATTTCTATTAGTCAACTTCTTCTTGAATTACCTTGTTCAGAGATAGACACCGAGATGCGAGTGAAAACAAGCTTTCAGCAAATGTAAACACAACAGTAAATTTCTAATCAGCACTAACTACTGGTAGCAGCCTATTAAAAGTACATCAGTACATTTTGTACATAAAAGATTTGGAATCTTTTAACAATATTGATAACAATAGCATCGGGTGATACGTGATGTGACCTACATATGGTATGTGCCTTCACTAATAAGTAACTCACCGCAAACAGGCCGTTCTGGAGCCCGAAGGGAATCGGGGTCAGTCTGGAGAGCGCGATAACTTTGAACCCGCTGTTACTCTCCAGAACTCTCGCTATGGCAGTCAAGTTGGCGTTCCCGCCGATTTTGTTCAAAAGGAAATCTCCGCAGAATCTCTTGCACATGACGTGTGCGACAAAAGTCCCCTGGAAGACGGCCAGTATAACGATGACGAGTCCCTCTAAAAACCCGTACAAGTAGCCGGCCGAGATGTTCAGAACAACGTAGCCCCATGTCATCGGGAAAGACACAACTGTGAAGAGGACGACGAAGAGAATGACTCCCAGCCCACCGTTTAGACCTTCTAACCATAAGATGAATTCCTTGATGTAATGTCTGCTGAAGAACAGGACGAAGCAGCACAGGGTCACCAGCCCGACTATCGATGTTGACATGTAGAGGGAATTGCAAGTTTTGTGCCCCTCCTCCCCCTCCAAGGACGGCCTTCGAAGCGCCTTTTCCAGCATCGTGAGTTCTCCGAGCGGCTTGATGTCAGCCAGGCCGTCCTGCCCGGCGTGTAGAGAGTCTTCCTCTGGGGTCATGGTTCAGCTTCGGGCAGGTTATGTGGGAGAAGAGAGGCGATAAGCAGCTGATAGCTGTGCAAACTTTGGCGCAGTGTACCTCGACCCGGCGCGACTCGTAGCGGCCATTTTGGAACGGCCGATTGGACACGAAATCAATACAAACATGGAGAGGTGCATCACTTTATCGCTAGGTGGCGTCCCTGTACGGTCTACTTTTCCACCCAACTACACCTGTTGCGTTGTCCGGCAGATAAAAGGCAGAACGTTACAATTTTCCCCAATAAACTTCTACAGTCGATTTCAATTATGATATATATGTTCCCATATATAATTAATATATTAGGTATC